CCAGTGTAGACCGCCGCACAAAGGTGGAGTGAGGGGGAGCACAGACCGCGGGCCAGCATGTGCCACTCGAGAACCTGCTTTGTCTGACTGTGCTTTACAGGTTGAGCCCGATGGTCACTTTCTTGCAAACACCGTGGCCTCTGCTGCTGAGCCTCTGCCCCGAGCCAGCCTGCAGCTCCCTGAGGTAAAACGCTTTACCTGTCTCTGTATTTAAAATACCAGGTCTCATCATTGACGCCTTTGGAGAGCTGAGAGACCAACAGGAACAAGTGCGGGAGGACATGGAGGTAACGCTGGACTGGCCCCAACCGGGTGCGTCTTGCGGCCATGGGTCTGCTACCACCTGGTGCTGGCTGGGCCTGCCTGCTCCACTGCACCCTCCCCGCCCCCCCACCCCCACTCCGCTCAGCTGGCAGGGGCTCCGTGGCACTGGGGGGATGACTAACACCAGAGCACTGGAGACCGAGTCTGCACGGTCCCCCCCGTCGGGAGACTGCGGCCCCTCCCCTCCCGCCAGGTAGCACGTGCTGACGCTCCTGCTGCCTCTCTCCTTCGCCGTAGACTAAGTGCTTCATCTGTGGGATTGGCAACGACTACTTTGACACGACTCCTCATGGCTTCGAGACACACACCTTACAGGAGCACAACTTGGCCAACTATCTGTGAGTGCCCTCGCTCCACAGGGGCCGGGGCGGGACAGAATGAAATAAAGGGCGGTGCCCCCTGCGCACCTCCAGGCCCCATTTCCGCCTCTTTCCCCAAGTAGAGTTGAGTGGGGACACCTCGAGGGCGTCCCGGGAGCTGCATCTCTGCCCGCCCCCCCCCCCCCCACTGGGCCCATGTTCTGACGGATGTGTGCCAGGGGCTCTCCAGGCTCCTAGCAAAGGACAGCCTCCGCCGGGGACGGGACCCCAAGCCTCCGTCTCTCCTTCTCTGCGGAACTTTCCCCATCACCGCTCGAGTGTTGGTTTTTAACCCTAACCCAAGAACAAAGCCTACAGCCCCACTTTCACTTCCAGCTACTGCCCCGCTACTTTCTGCCCTTCCAGTGAAACTCAAAGTGTCTGGGCTCACAGTCCTCCATCTTTCCCTTCCTGGTCCCCTCTGAACCCATTCCAGACAGGCCCTCCCTCACCTCCCATCCCCACCACATTTGCTCCTGTCACAGTGGTCAGTGACCTGCATGGTGCTGGATCCTGTGGTTCACCTGCAGGCCTCACCCTGCCTGTCCTCTCCTGGGAACATGCAAGTGCCAGGAGGGCTGGGTATGGGGATGTGGGTGTTTCATGCTGCTCTATCCTAGCACTTGGCATAGTGCTTGGCCCCCAGAAGGTGCTAATAAGTATTTTGCTTGTTCTGAATAAAGCTTTCCCTCAGGAATAAGATTTTCAGAGCCTATTATGTGCTATGGACTGCGTATGAAGCTCGTAACTGAAATAGAGACTACCTGGCAATTCAGATTCTCTACGTGATCATTTTCAAGAAAAGAAAAGCTCCCCTCTGGGTCTGCATTTTATTGTTTAGGAAAAACTGATCTTTAGGATGGAACAGGCTTAGCCTTTGGGAAAGGTGTTGTTATCAAAGGGAAGGAGCAAAGACCGAGCTCTTTGCTAAAATAGGAGTTTAAGAAAAAAAAAAAAAAGAAAAACTTTACCCTTCCTCAAGTCAGGAGGATTCATCATTGTTAATTCTCATGAAGAGAATTTTAATGTTCATGGAGGTGATCAGGATGGATGTCCTTCTATAAATGGTGAGCACTTGGCCATTCATCAGGACCTTGGAGCAGAGAAACGTGAAAGGGTGCTATGATGCTGTCCCCCTTCTACATCCTCCCATCGCACTAGATATTATAGTAGTCTTCCTCTGGCTCTGTGTACCTCTCGCAGCCTGCTTGAGGAGAGAGGACCCATCTCATTCATGTCTGAAACCCCCTAAAAATGGTGCTTTGTCAAATAAATATGCTAGGAGATAATGTCCTCCGTGCCTGAGTCTCAACGGAAAAAGGAGGATGGAACCAAATCTGTTTACAGCCTCTGAAGCTATACATCTAAGGGGACTCTGAGAGAATCTGAAATCTGGGGCTCAGGTTCTCTCCACCCTCAGTCTCACAGTCCAATCTTTGAGGGCACAAGACTGGCTCTTTGGGAGGATCTCTGAGGTCATGCAGTGTGAGCTGACAGACCAGCCCAGGCCCCAAGGAACCTGGGTATACCAGATGGACAGACTCACACCTTAGCTCCACCATGGTCAGAATGCGTGAACTGCACTGGCATTTCTCAGATGGCCATAATACAAACCAAACTCTATTTCTGAAGAGAACTTAATGAGGTTAAATACTTTCTACCTTTTTTCATGATATATCTTTGAGACACACAATTTCAGTTCTACATTTACCTATTATTAATCATACAGTAAGAGTTTTGGTGACCATTTTAGTGTTTAAAAAAAAAATCCTAGAGAAAGAACATGCAAGCTGGGGTGGGGGTCGGGGTGGGGAGAGGGAATGTTAAGCAGTGCAGAGCCCCACACGGGGCTCGATCCCATAACCCTGAGTTCATGACTGGAGCCCAAATTGAGTCAGACACTCAACTGACTGAGCCACCCGGGTGCCCCTGTTAAGGATTTTTTAGAAAGGTAGCCAAAACACTTCCTCCAAAGGGCTCTTAGCTCAAGGTTTAGGAATGGTAAAAAGAACTTCTCCTCACAAAAAGACTAACCAAAGTAATATTGTCTTTGTCTCACATATTATACCTTTTTTGCCTTGTTTCAGGTTCTTCCTGATGTATCTGATTAATAAAGATGAAACGGAACACACAGGGCAGGTGAGGAACCAAGTGGCTTAAGAATCATACCCCTGCATTAAGAGTTTCCCTTTCAGAAGTCTTGAGACTGAACAGAGCATAGGGTGTCTGTGGTAGACACATGACTTCATTAGTCTCCAACGTACATTTTCCCCTACATTATTCCACCATCTCTTTGTGACTTACTTTAAGGACTTTCTTTTTTTTTTAAATTTTTATTTATTTATGATAGTCACAGAGAGAGAGAGAGAGGCAGAGACACAGGCAGAGGGAGAAGCAGGCTCCATGCACCGGGAGCCCGATGTGGGATTCGATCCCGGGTCTCCAGGATCGCGCCCTGAGCCAAAGGCAGGCGCCAAACCGCTGCGCCACCCAGGGATCCCCTCTTTGTGACTTACTTAAGAAGCCAATGTCCTAAGGCAACTCCAATCTGTTCCTAAAGACTTTCTGGTTATCCTTCCCAACTAACACTGACATTTTCTAAACCCCTGTGGTTACTGCTTCAGAGTAGAATAGCTGGAGGTGGGGAGAACATTACAGAGAAAAAGACAAGGAGAAGCTAAGTGGGTGGCTCTAACAGAGAGTAAGATGGTGTGAGGACAGCCTGAGAAAGAGAACCACCGCACACGTGGGTGACCCAGACTGTGTGGCAGTGTGGGTAATGAGTGAAAGTATATGTCAAGAGGGATTCTGTGACTAAGTATGAGAAACAAATGCCAACATAAGAGAACAAAGGGAAGAAAAGGTAGGTTATCAAATATTCAAACATCCTCAGATTTGTAGGAAAACTTCACAGCTCGGACACTGGAAAGGCAACTGGTTCTAGATTTCTCTTCAGTTCTCCAGGCATCTGGCCAAGCTAGCACTCACAGCACTCACTGTCCCCTTGTGCCACCTTCTGCCTTCTAACAATTACAGATGACACAGACTCAGCCCATTGCTGGATCATTGCATTGTGTTCAGTGTTTTGAGTTTTGGCGGGGCGGGGGAGGCAGAGGGGAGAGGAACAGAGCCAGCAAGAGGTGCAAGTTGGGCCCCATCACCATTCTCCTGGGAGACCTTGCAGAGGAAAACCACCTGGGTTTGAGCTGACTGTGGTCTAAAAAGAAATGCCCTTTGTTCCCATTATTTCAGGAATCTTATGTCTGGAAGATGTACCAAGAAAGGTGTTGGGATTTCTTCCCAGCTGGTGACTGCTTTCGGAAACAGTATGAAGATCAGCTTGGATAAATTGGAATGAAAGAACTCTACAATTCTGGACAGTCAGCTTCCAGTGAAATAAATCTTTTATAGTTGTGCAAAATATTTGAAATGTGAAATATCCTAAATGCCTCCCTTACGAGAAAGTGTTTGTTACAAATATGTGATATTTTGGAATTGATTTGGCTTTTTGTGCCTAATGGACCTAGCCCTGGGGGAGGTGACCTCTCAAACTGTTAAAAGATGGCAAAGAATTAAGGAAACTGTGGTTGAGAATACCTTCAAGTTTTTCAGTTGTAATGGCACTAGTTTGTTGCCACGGTGTCCTTGAGGAAAGGGCCACAAGGATGAAATCTTCAACGCACAATACCTGAAATTTTACACACTTGAACGTCACCTGACAGAATCACTAGTGACTCATGGCCTGAACTACAACTAATCATTTTAACTGCAGTCAATTATTTCCCAAGGTATGTGCCAGTGAATGTATCAGAATCAGCTTGAAAAACTTTAAGCAGTTAAAGAACTAGAAAAACCAACCAATCCTTTGTTGACACTGAAATATCAAGTGCCTTAAAATCTCTTTAGATCTAGCTATGCAAATTTTTTATGTTTATGTTCCAGACGGACAGTTCCATTTATTAGTTGTGTTGAACTTCCGTCTTTATGAAACTGCACTTGAAGGTTATTCATATATTGTTTTTCAGTAACAGCTTGTCAACTGCTGTTATTAGAAGTACTGTACTGAAAAATCAGAAAAATTTCAATCTTATGCCAACCTGAGTACTGCTTTATGGTCCCCTTGTAAGTAGTGGAGCTGCTGTGTTTAGGTGAACTCCTTACATCAAAGGAAGTGCCCACTGCAATAAAGTAATACACACCAATCCATAGCGTCGGCCTCTTGTAATGTACCTCCTCTGGATGATTCTACAGCCATCCTGGAATTGCTGGGAAAAGGGTCACAAGACCAAGAGCCTAAACCTCCAAGAAAGAAAGCAATTCCATAGACCAGCGTTGGTTTATTTGGGCCAAATGCATGCCTTGTTTCTTGTTTCTAGTCTAGCAGCGGCACTGCTCAGCTGTAAACACTGCAAGGAAGGAGGCTGCCCTCAAGCAATCTAGCAGATCACTAAGCCAGAGAACAAATGCCACAAGTCTCTTAAATGTATAGTTTTGGATGTTGTGGAACGTAGAGGTAGGCCTTCACTGCGGCAAATGTGGTGGGACACATGGGCTTGGAGCATGCTCAGAACCAGCTATTCTGGAAGGACAGCCTTGGGCCCACCCCGACTGGACAAGGCAACCAAAATCTGCTTCAGGCACTTTTTTTTCCCATTTTTCTTTTTTACGTTATGAAATCATACTGTCCAACCAGTCTTCAAGCTCTTCCTCAGTAACGGGTTTTGATGTACTTGGTTGCTCAGATTGCACATTCTTTTCGTCTGTCACAGATGGTTCTGTGGGACCTGGGGAAATGGAAGCCAAGTTAACAATTTCATGTCAGTCCCTTACTGGGGGCCCAGGCTGCCCTGGGGGGAGGGGGTGTTCCCGGACAGAATGCAGCCCTAGTTAGTGCTTTGCTTACAATAAGGGGGAACGTTCTAGCATTGCTCCTACTCCTTTAGCAGGTAGGATAATATCTGAACAGATTAATAAATGGGGTAGAGACCTGCTATTCTGTTCATGCTCAAGGTGACTTTCATAGTTCACTGGTCTTCTAAAAAGACCCAACAGCTCAGTTTTCTGTTTACTCTTGTAGCAATCCTGGGAAGTCTTTAAAGGCTCTCACAAATGCAGTATGCGGGTGGAACAGGCACCCTCGGCCTCCCCCTGGAGGGGCCACTTTCTCACAGAACACACACAAAGGAGGAAGTGCTCTTTTGTACAAAAATAAGATGGAAATAGCAAGTCTGGAGAGTTGGGTAACTGTCCTGTTGAGACAGTTGATTGAAAGGTCTGCTGCTGCACAGCCGAAGGCTACCAGGGTCTTAATGCCTTTTTAGGCACACATTCCAGCTGCAGCCTGGGTTTACTATTGCAGTCAGGCAGGTGGAGGCTCTGGAAGCCTGGCAGACGGAGCGAGAGTAATGTTGTCAGAAAGGTCGGCTCAGGGGAAGTGGGGATGTGAGTGTAGAAACAGATGTCAGTGGACACCACCAGATCCGTGTCAGACACTGATGCAGACGTGTGTGGGCACAATGCAGGTGGGGCTGTTTGCACAAAAACAAGAAGATGGATGGGAGGGGCGGGTAAACCAGAAGCCATACCTTTTCCTTCCTGGGCCACGTCTCCGTCTTTCTCAGATTCTAATCCAGGCGTCAGGTCCGGTAGGATGCTCTCCCCCTCTCTTACAGGTGCGTCTAGACTAAGCAGCAGATCTAATTCTTCCTCCAAGTGGTCTGCTGCCGACGGCAGTGGGGCAGTGGGTTTCTGGGGACCCCCCAAGGGGGCAGGGCAGCAGGCGGCAGGTTTCAGCTCAGAGACAGACCCCTTTCCGCCAGGACCCAAGGGCCCTTTTAACTGCATCCCCAGTCCCTTGGCTTCGTCGTTCCTCTTTGGTTTCATCTGAGGAAGCTCTAAAGGAAGGGCGGTCTGAAAGAGAACCATGATAATGGAGTTAAGAACCTGAGTCTCACCATGGGGATTCCTGGGGGGGCTCAGTGGTTTAGCACCTGCCTTGGGCTCAGGTCATGACCCCAGGGTCCTGGAACTGAGTCCCACATCAGGCTCCCCGCAGGAAGCCTGCTTCTCCCTCTGGCTGTTTCTCTGCCCCTCTCTGTGTCTCTCATGAATAAATAAAATCTTAAAAAAACAAAAAACAAAACAAAACAGAGTCTCGCCATAGCTGCTTAGGCAGAAACAGAAGCGAAGGAAGCCAAACATTGTGGGATAAGACATTCAACTCAAACAGGAAGTTCACAAAGGGCCCCCCCAGCTCAGCCCTGCCCACGCGGGGGGAGGTGGGGACCCCAGGGGCCACAGCAGGGCTGTGCCCACAATGGCCGCAGCGCCGGGGGTCAGAGTTCCCGCTCTAACCCTGTGGAGTGGCAGCAGCAGGGTCTCCTCAGATGTCTGCGGATGCCCAGTGTGCGAGGAGTCACACCTGTTAAGAGGCCCCAAGGCGCAGCAGCAAACCCCATCTGTTCACTGTCCAGAAACATACGAGTGGTGATGGTGAAGGACGGGTTGGTCAACAATGACTCTAGGTAACATTTGAATAAAAATGCCAGACACAAACACACACACACACACACGCACAATTTGATTAGTTTTGCCTGGTTTGGGACTTTGTATAGCTGTAATCTTCACTAGGAGGGGTCTGGATGCTGGTCTCCGGGGGAGGGACAGGGGCGGCTTCTGGGGTGCGGCCGGTATTCTGAGCCTCCAGCTGGAGGCTGAGTCCATGGTCACAATTCTTCTGCATGCACTTTCCTGTCATGGTTTAACAAAAGCTGCCCCCCAGGTGACTGCAGCGTCTGGCTGAGGCTGAGCAGGTCGGCTGTGGAGGGAGGCCTGGGGTGACCAGCACGGGGGGAGCCCAGCCACCCCGTTGGAGGGCACTGTCCCCTTATCTGCACACTGACACATCCTGAGCACATCCAGTGCACTGATGACTTGTAGAACAGGATGGCTTCGCACATCAGTTTTCATCCATCGCTGCCCATGTGCAACACGAAGCTGGCATGTGCCAAGGACCACATCCTACTCCTGGAGTCATTCTGTTGTCCTGGACCTAGGGTCTGGCATTGTTTTTAACTCCCAGGTGATGCTAACGTGCAAACACCATTTGGAATAACTGCTCCATATCATGGGAGGAAGCAGGAGGTTCAAAACTATTTAAGCCAGGTTTCCAAAGTTACTGAAATTAATTGACACCGCTATCTTGAGGCCTGCCCCTGACAGGAGCCCCTCGCGGTCACAGGCTCACAGTACTTCCTTTGCTCCCCAAGAAAGGCCCCTCCTCTCGGTGTTTCCTGGTGTCTTATGCTAACACTTCCCCATTCTGCGGGCCCCCCTGCACCTGGCAGGACCTGGAATCTCTGGACACCTGGCGGGGAAAGCAGCACTCTCCCAACCACTAAGAAACACCCTGTCCCCCAAGCCCCCAGACATCCCTAAAGCTCTGTGGCGATTCCATCAGAGGCAAATGCCACCCCGTCTACTTCTGTGCCTTCCCTTAACTGTCCCCCAGTCCTGAATTCCACTTGCTGCCCTAAACTGGGGGCCAGCTAGTGCCATGGACATGACTGGTTGGGGAGCAACCAATTCATGCATCTGCTCAATTTTCACACCACATTCAGCTGCAGAATGAAGGCAACCATTGGAGTCACTGGCACTCAGTTTACACGCAAGACTGCTCAGGGTTTCACTTTTTAAAAAACAATGTAGTTGAGCCACAGTTACATTTTGGAGTTCCTGTAGTACAACCCACTGTGCCTCTTCCTCTCTCAGCTCACCAATCAGTTGCTATCTTACACCAGCATCTTCCAAATTTATGCTTGTAGCCATTAATTCTGAACCTATAGCCAACTACTGTTTCCCACTGATACCTCAGAGGCACACACCCAATAATGTGCAGGCCTCACCCTTCCTGACACGACCCCGTCGCTGAGCTGCACAGGCTGGAAAGCCGAGGACAAGTCTCACTTGCTCGCTCCCTATTCCTAGCACTTACCAAGCCTCACAGACTTCCCTTCTGAAGCACCTCCCAGCAAAGGCCAGTCCTCTGCCCTCTCCACCCTCCTTGCCTGCGGCCCCCTATGCCCCGGGCCTCCACAGCCTCCTGCTTTCCCTCCCTGCCCTCACCCCGCGATGCAGATCATCACTCACCACAGTGTCAGGACACTGGGCCGGGGCACTCCAAATCCCACCCCCATGTGTTTACCCTCGGGATCTCAGACAACCTCACCCTTGGTCCGGAATGCCCTTCCTAGCCACCAGCTTCCTAGCCCCGCCTCATCTTCGTATGTGCTGACGGCACACGACACTGGTCCTTCATGGGACTGAGCATGGCTGGATGACCTCATCAGTATAGTTCCCAACAGATGAAGCCCCATGGGATCGAGACCCATGCCTGTGGGATCCTTTGCTGGATGTAAGCCTGGCACATAAATTTTTGAGTAAAATACCAGCCAGACTTTATAGTTTTCATTCAATTCCATTACATTTGATCCTTCAAAATGTTTCAAATGTAAAATGTAAAAACAAAAGAACGGAAAACTCTAAAAATTATTTCATTCTCCCTTAAAACTTTGAAAATGCGACCTTGACACAAGAGCCTCAGCCTTATGAAAGGAGAAGCTGACTATGAGACATCCTGCAGGGTGACGTCCTTCACTCCTGTGTCCCTGCAGCTGGCAGACACTGTCGGGGTTTTTACCTGGACCAACTCGGCAGCAACATTGAGCCGGAGAGAGAGAGGCAGTTCTTGAAGGGCTCGGACCAGTGACTCGCAGTCCACATAAAACGCTGAATTCTATTAATGAAAAATCATATAAATATATCAGGCGATGATTACAAATGGCCTGTTGGGGATAAAAGAGCAGATGACGACAGCAGTGAACACAGCATCCCCTGAAAGTGAGTCACAGATCACACATGACAGGGCTGCCTTTTCTATCATCCCTGCATCAGGATCAGCAAATCCCAAGCCACGTTCTGGAGCCAGAGGTCACACTGAGAGCAGGAACAGGGCAGTCCTCACCCCACACCAACATTGCACAGCAGCCTAGAAACTAAGGATGCTTCTGGAATGACTGGCAGATTGAGAGAAAAAGAAGCATTTCATGGAATTTACATGATTCCAGAGCGATCACTCCAGAGGGCAGCCTTGGAGTGGAGGGGAGAGCCGGGGACGCAGTGTGGCAGGGCTCTGGGCACAGCCGCCGGGCCTGTGGGACTCTGGGCACAGTCGCTAGACTGGGACTATACCTCTACCCGCCCAGCCGCCAGGCTGGGACTACACCTCTACCCACCCAGACAACACAGCACACTCTGCCCATGGGCTGCTGGCTTCCCTGGATCCCTCTCCTCGTTCGTGGAAGTCGAGGCCAGGCCCCGCGATGACCCCCCAAGTTGACAGTATCTGAGGGAACGTTCCAGGTTATTTCGATGCTTAAGGACAGTCCAGTGGCTGCCTTCCAGTGCGCCGGCCACCCAAGAGAAAGAACAAGCCAAGAGTTGCTTATAATGGCCTCACATTAGAGGGAAGCACCGCTGAACACCCGTCTACACAGGCCCCACAGGCCCCACTAGAAACACAGCTTATTGTAAAATCACTGGCTTCGAGTACGAAGGAAAGCTGGGGGTCACCTGGTCGGGTCTGGGTTCTGCCACAGGAACATTGGGAACATCTCGGGAAGACTGGCCCTCAATGAGTGCAGGCAGTGACCCAGAGGAGGGAACCCATGGTCCGCCCCCAACCCCAGCAGGGCAGGAGGGCAGAGGGAAGCAGTGTGGCTTCCAGCAGCCCTTCCGAAATGCTCCCCAGTGTGGCCAGACGCAGTGTGGACAGCACCTGAGGGGGCCCCCGGCCCTGGAACAAAGGAACTCACTTCTCAAAAAGCGCAGTGTACTCAAGGAGCAGGGCAGAGGGCCCTGCAGGGAGCGAGACGTTCAGCACACATGGCCTCTCTTACCTGGCACACCGCGCCTTGGGGCTGTGACCAGACCGGCGTGGCCGTGTCTGCATTTTCAAGTTTGTAGAAACTCTCAACCTGGTAGAAGGGGTGATCCTGAATGCTTAACCTATGGGTGCATCACCACATGACATCCTGGAATCATGCCTCCCCACCACCTGGGTAACCACGTACACATGGTGAGGACCTGGTCTCTGCCTTGCCTGCGCACCATTCACCTGCGGCCCCCCCTAGCTCCCCAGACAGAAGAACCCTGGGGCGTGCTGGGGTCTGGCTGCAAGTGTCCAACTTCCTCTGCCCTCTTTTGCGTCATGTGCAAGGTACATGCTCCACATGTGCAGGTGTATGCACAAGGATACAGGGAACAGCCAGCCTGTGCCTCTGAGGCATGTCCTGAATGATGGACATCTGGCTGTATCTGCTTCTGGAATGTGTGTTGTCGTCCCTGCCCCGGTCTCTAACTCCTGCCCCATCATCCAAGGCCCAGCAGACACTGTGTGGCCTCCAGGCAAACCACCAGGTGGAGTTGCCAGGGTCCTGGAGCCTAGAACCTGACATCAAATGCCACTTTGGAAGAAGACTCCTTCGCTCAGGACCAGTCTTTCCCCTAAACGGCTAAAGCAGAAAGTCTAACATATAAAATGCACTGAGGTGAAAAGCTTCTAATAGTCAAGTGTGAATTTTAAAGTAGGCTTAATTGGAATAATAACCACAATTCACTTTTTGGCTAGGTCATAAAATAACTGGGAGGTTCCTTTTTACCTGGAGAGTCTCGTCCCCATATGCACCTGGCCAACCCTGGTGGTCTCTCACAACTGGAGCATGCGCCCTCACTGTACTGATGCCTTCTCTCCTACATGCTCTGAGGCCAGCAGCAGGAAGCCAGCCTTGGTGGTTAGAACAAAGCCCCACCACCCTTGTCTTGAGGTCAATGTGCACAGAACCTTGGTCAATGTGCACAGAACCTAGTCTGGGTACTGAAAATCTGTCCCCTCTGTCCAGGAACCTTATTACTTCCTAGATTCTAAGTCTCAGTGTCCATGTAAAGGCACACTAATTGGTGAGAAAAGAACCTGCTAGCAAGTCCACTTTGCAGCTAAAGAAAAAAAATAGCCTTCGATCAGATCATTATACTTTCCAAAATTCTTGTCATCTTTTTCTTTCTCAAGTAAGCAAAAACAGAACCTCGCAAGGAGGTAAGTGGGTCATGAACCAGTTTTGATGGGGAATTGATGAATTTAGTTTGGGATGTGTCCTGCCCACACATCAACTCAAAATATTCAAAGTCAACTTGCCTTCTCTCTGCCCCATTAATGGCCTTGCCAACTCACCGGGCCACCAAGCTAGGAAGCTTAGCACCACTGCACACCTTTCTTCTACCATAAAGGTCTTCAGCCTTGAGAAGAGCCAATCCACATTTAAGACAAACCATCTTACCTGTTTTGGAGCTGACACTTCACCATCCCACTCTTTCTCTTCAACAAACCGGAACTGTGAGAATGAGTCCCCTAGGGATAGAAAAAAACAATATTTTATGCTGAAGCCAAAGGAAAACACTCTGTTCTCTAAACTTCCCCTTTGGAATAAAAGTGCCATTTCTGAAGAGCTAACTGTCCTGAATTCAGGGATAGCAATCAATAGAGGTTCCTGGCTTCCCCTGCCATACACAGCAATCTGGGCATGATGGGCACCTGAAAATACTGTTGGAACCTGAATTCACAGTTTCACACCATTCTCAGTAAGCCACCATCTACGTGCTTCTGGGGAGAGAACTAAACCAGCCTGCAGACATGGCCATCGACTCATATTTAGCACATTTTCATCTCATCTGCTTAATGTATGCAAGGAAACGGATATTTATGATTTGGGGAGTGGGCACAGCTGAAAAGGCAGACGAGAACTGAAAGAAAGCAGTTCTAGGCTGACCCACAATATGACAGACTGAAACTATCTCTCACTTTTAAAAGATTTATTTCTTCATGAGAGACACACAGAGAAAGGCAGAGACACAGGCAGAGGGAGAAACAGGCTCCCTGTAGGTAACTCGATGTGGGACCAATCCTGGGACTCCAGGATCGTGCCCTGAGCTGAAGGCAGATGCTCAACCCCTGAGCCACCCAGGGGCCCCTTAAACTATCTCTTTGAGGTGAGATTATCTACCTTATCTATCACCCCAAAAGTCACCTGGTTAGAATGTCAAATGAAAAATAAAACTCCAAGAATGGGCATGAGATTAGTTCATGTGAATAGTGGTGCACTCAGCTCTTGAAATAAAGGAAAACCAAAAAACAAGATCAGCATAAACAAAGCATGACAGATGATTCTGGATAGCAAGCTTTGACACAGACTTATTTTGTAAATGCATACTTATTTGGTTATTTGTCTAAAGAACACCTAAATCTATAAATGAAGGATTATTTCTCATTTCTCTGCCTAGCTTCAGGATCACCAAAATGTGGTCCCAATAACCCATTTACTTCCTACTTCTTCAGACTTTCTGCTTGAGTCAGCCTATCACATTCCAGAAATACTTCCTATTCCATCCTAGCCTCTTTCTGTTTTAATCCTTCCCTTTTGACTGGAAGACCCACACACAGCTACCCATTCATATTGTATTTAGACTCCAAGATTCAGGTTCAGGGCCACTTCCTCCTTTGTGATACCTCTCAGGTGGTTTAACCATAGAATCCATTCTTCTAAATTAAAAGAGGGAAAACGAAGTGAAGAGTTCACAATTAAAGAGACAAAGATAAAATAAGAATCTGTACCACCCCCTTGTTTCCAAAACACAGGGATCACAATATGAACATTTAACAAGATCAAATTCAAGGCAAAAAGAACCAAGAACACTATCAGGAGAAGAGGTAAAGTTAATACTTAGTCATTGGCGAATAAATTTGATCCCTCAAAAATTATGACATAAAGGATCTGAATAATATAATTAACAAGGTCTTATGTGTGACTACAGATATATAAGTATAAACATGTGTGTATTTATTGTGATTATATCTGTGTATTTTCTTTATAAATATCTGTGAAACATTAGTTTTTAAAAAGAGCTAAAAAAAAAAAAACTATAAAAGGCCACAAAAAAACTCAGTAAATCCTAAAATGTAGCAGTCATACAAACCATATTTGCTGGTGATAAACATTCATAGCACATAAAAGCAAAGGATTAATTGCTCTTACACACAAAGAGCTTCTACAAAACAACAATGAAAATAAAACCACCAATAAAAAGAGGAAAAGGAGTGAAAATAAGAAATACCATTCTCATATGAATATACATATGAAATAAATAATATATGAGTAAATTAAAAATCAATCTGATAGATTTTTAAAACTTGGCCAAATACCTGAATGCCTTATTCAGTGTTATTTTTGGCATTCCTGAATTTTTTTTAAGTAGGCTCCATGCCCAGTGTTGAGCCCAACATGGGGCTTGAACTCACAACACTGAATAACAAGACCTGAGTTGAGATCAGGAGTTGGACGTTTAGGGATCCCTGGGTGGCGCAGCGGTTTAGCGCCTGCCTTTGGCCCAGGGCGCGATCCTGGAGACCTGGGATCGAGTCCCACGTCGGGCTCCCGGTGCATGGAGCCTGCTTCTCCCTCTGCCTATGTCTCTGCCCCTCTCTCTCTCTCTCTCTCTGTGACTATCATAAATAAATAAAAGCTTTAAAAAAATTTAAAAAAAAACTCAGATTTAAAAAAAAAAAGGAGTTGGACGTTTAACCTACTGAGCCACCTAGGCACCCCTATGGCATTCCTGAACTTATACATTACAAAGGATGCTATATGACTGCAGAGATTACTATAATATATAATCAGCACATGATAACAGTAACACAAACAAGGCATGCTACATGTACTTATGTTTAATATTTGAATATTCACTTTCAAATACAGATTAGATTCCAACAATGGCTAAATAGCTTGTTGCAAACCAATCCTCTTGCTGAGAACAACTTATGAACACTAGGCAAGAAGAGCTACCAAAGGAGAACATGAGTGAGAAAAGTCCCAGAAAGAAGCTAAGGAGGTAATAAATCTAACATTTAGATTTGCTTTTCTCTTTGAGACACTTGTTCATTCCCAAAGGTAGCATCAAGAAACTGAAGATCTGAGCATACAGTAACCACTTACAAGGCTATGAAGATACTGAGAGCTTTCGCTAGCTTTATGGCTAGCGTGGACCAAAGTCACTGTTCAGGGCCCATGGATGAGGACGAGTTTTGGAAAGTCAAGGCTCTCAGATGGGATCCCTCATGACTACATCTTAGAGGTGGTGACAAGGAACAAGCCAGTCCTCACACTGAGGCAGAGCTGTAAGTCTCAACCTCTGATTCTGTCTTCGAGAAGCCAAAGTAAATCCTTTTTGGAGGAAAATAACATTATTTATAGCCTAAAGTTATCTCTACTATTTTTTATAACCGGTATCCAAAATTCATTAAAAATCATCAGGCTTGGGCAGTCCGGGTGGGTTAGTGGTTTAGCACCGCCTTCAGCCCAGGGTGTGATTCTGGAGACCCGGGATTGAGTCTCACGTCAGGCTCCCTGCATGGAGCCTGCTTCTCCCTCTGCCTGTGTCTCTGCTTCTCTTTCTGTGTCTCTCATGAATAAATAAAATCTTTAAAAAAAAATCATCAGGCTTATCAGGAGAAGAGACCAAAGTAACAGAAAACTATGAGAGAGGGGAGCTGGGGGAAAGCCTAGAAAAAGATGGTATACCAAAAACATGCTTTGCTTAAAATTGAACTTCAAAACACATTTTGAAAATTCTAATAAATAAATCATATAGAGGCCAACTTTGAAAAATAAGCTTGTTAACATTTTAGCCTACTAAAGAATGCCAACATCTCTAATCCTGTCACTGAAGATGAAGAGCATTCACACTTGTCCAAATGATGAAGCCTAGCATCAAGAGTGCTTCTGGAAAACATGTTACCAAAGTTCTTCTTTCCAAAATAACATGCACAATAACAACGGTGCTCCTCCTCTATCCTGTGCATCACACACTTGAACACCCAGACCTCCTTTAAATACAACAGCACAGTCCATTAGCAATGCATTCAACCCTGCTCCTGCTTTATTCTCTTGCTGAAAGAGTTCCTCGTTTCTCACAGTAGCATGGTGCATCCACAAGAAGTATAGAATGGAAACCAGAGACCAATGACAGCTAACTGTGGCTGACAATGGACCAAACATGGTGAAGGATGTCTTAGGGGTCACAAGCTTTTAAAGATTGGGTCACATTCACCTGCTGTGTTCAGAAAGTAATTATGGCACAGTGGATAGAACAGAACTGAAAGTATACAAGGAGTACTGTACTTTCTTCCTTCTTCTTCTTCTGCCAAAGACTAATTTCATGAGTTACAAGAGGTTGTGGAACTGCCTTGTATATTTACACAATATCTGCCAACAAGACGGAGGAAGAGCCAGTTCCTGTTACACAGGCTGTGTGGAAAACAGCAGCCACCAAAAATCCCGTAATATTCTACTTTGCAGGGCAGCCCCGGTGGCGCAGCGGTTTAGCGCCGCCTGCAGCCCGGGGTGTGATCCTGGAGACCCTGGGATCCAGTCCCACATCGGGCTTGCTGCATGGAGCCTGCTTCTCCCTCTGCCTGTGTCTCTGCCTCTCTCTTGCGCTCTCTCTGAATGAATAAATAAATCTAAAAAAAAAAATTAAAAAATTCTACTTTGCAGATAAGAATACCAAAATAGCAGGCCTGCTAAATCCAATGACTGCTATTAAGAACGTAATTATTCACTGGAATTTGCTAAATAAGGGGAGAAGGGCAAATTTAAACAAAACTGCTATATTTTGAGAGTTCACGTTTTTCTTACATATAAAGTCTCATATCATTCTATTCCAGAAACAACGCTGGTGTGCGTGAATGATAAAAGTCATGATACAAGTGATACTGAAACATTCTGTTACATCTTAAAAGTCGACATTATTGCCACAATTTTAGAGTCAAAATTAAAGATAGAATTTTTTTCAATCCTCTAATTGTGTGAAGCAGCAAAAATATTAAAAGTTAATATATGTGTTGGCAGCAATCTTAAGTATGCTTCTGAAAATATTTAGAAAGGATGTTTCAAGCAGTGCACAATGCTTCAATTTCTCGGATTCCTTCAATGAAATTCATGATCATCACACAAATCTCCAAGGCCAGTGGTTAATGAGGAGAGAAGTCTTCACCTAGTCTATAACCTAGTTATTATTGGAAAGGACAAGGTAAATTGCCAAGGGACAACATTACTATCAGCAGTACTGTACTCTGTGTAGTATAATATAGCAACTGCAGGATCAATCTAACAGCAGTCAGTGGGGTAAAAGGAGAATCTATATATTGTCAAAATTAAATCTACTACAGATTTTTATTAAAAAATTTCAAGTTTTGTTGAAATTTCACAGTTTTTTGGTATTCCAGACATCCATTCTATGAACTGATACTTAGCTTTAGTTTCAAGCTACATATGACTTAAGACATGACCATTTGGC